ATTTTCTCTATGTGGAAAGAAAGATCATCAGGGGCTTTATTTAAATTGAAAATATCAGGATCCTGAGCTATCCGTTCTCCCTTAGGGTGTGGGTAACGTTTAATATAGTTTATATAGGGAAATAACACTTTTCGGTATATATTTTATCCATTTTAAGCAGAAAATTGCTCAAACTTAGTCAGAATCATCTTGGGTAAATGAGAGTTTTACTTTGTAAAATTAGGATTCCTGCCCCATCCCCAGGGGCTAGGGCGGGGCCCCAAAGGGAACATTTACCAATATTTTCAAATTCTTATCCATTGATGACATGACAAGTATTGTATTTCACTTAGTTTACATGCTGATTTCCACATCACATCTAAACAATAAAATAAAGCTACCAGTACCTATGAATATAACTCAGGTGACCGCTAAGGCCCTTGGGCCTCTTGTCTTATAATCAAAATGAGCCCTGAAGAAACCCAAAAAAAACTATTAAGATGCCTCAATTGAACTATTTGTATATCACAAATGAGCCCCTAAATATATACTTAGGATACATTAAATGAGCCCTTAGACCCTAAATGGACCTTTGGGGTATTGCCATGCAAATGAGCCGTAAAGATATCCAAATAAACCCAAGGAATACCCCAAATGAGCCCCCAAAGAATTAAAATGTATCCCTAGATTTCCTGAAATGAGCCCCCAGAAAACCCTAAATAAGTGCAAGAAATGAAGCATATAAAAACAGTTATTGAAGGAACATTTTTTACTGTTAATTTTCCTTAACTTTTTTTACCGTAAATCAGAAAACATTATGTGAAAAATTTATTTTGAAGATGGCGATATTTGAAGCTCTCTATCTAATCCTTTGTCCTGTCAATAACTAACGAAGTCCTGAATGGTGTGACTTTGATTCCTATTGCACATAATCATCAACATCTGTGTGCTAAACTTACTGAAGTATTTCACAACTAATTCCTTCATTTGTTCCTATTATAATCATGTAATGAAAAAATGTATATGCTTCTTTTTTTTTTTTTTTTTTTTTTTAAATCTGATACTTTAAGAATTTATGAATTGGTTTGATTGTCATGCATATGTCGAGCTTTTATTTCATGATCTGAATATCTTTTGTTTGGCTATTATTTTACACATCACATATTTAATATATAGCAGTCTGAAATTGGATCGGCTTACCACAGCATTGTGTGCTTTGGAGCTTTATTGTTTTGTCTGCAATTAGAAGTCACTTTTGTTTTGATCTTTCATTTGACAAAATTTTGAAGTTGATAAAAATTCAATTGAAAAGTTAACAGCAAAAAGAAACAGTTTTTAAACTGGTATTGTTCTGTATATATATAAAAAAAAAAAATTAAACGACCCTAGCTAGACATAGAAACTCCATTTCTTCTCGAAGAAACTGATCCATGTACTTGTTTACAAGCACTTTTTTTTAATAAACACTTTACTTAATTTTTAAAAAAAAATCAAAGATAAGTTGTGTTTTCAATACAAATTTTGGGGAATCTTTCAACGTGCATGTCTTGGTTTATTTATTATCAGTATCAAAACTAAAAGCTATTAGATACTTGAATAAAATGTGTATATACAACATACTGTCACAATATTGTAGGATTAAACTATTGCACAGGTAAGATTTTTTTCAACTTGGACAGAATTATAAACAATTCAAACAAGGGTCAATATATAATGAGATGCTTCTTTTTCATGGACCTCAATGGATTTCTGGTTTCAAATTTAAATTAGTGAACTTGTAGCGAATAGTTAATGAATTATTTTTGAAATTCTGCATGATTTGAACAGCATGAGATACTGTTATTTGGATAATTCAAATTTTATGATGAACATGTAATGCTGTTTAAGCTTTACTGTGAAATTCCATCTTTTGATAAAAATTGCAAAAGGAAGCTTTGCACAGAAGCACTTTTTATGATTTCAATCAAATAATGGAATATGCATGTTTTCTATTTTACTTCAAGTATTGCATCCTCTACTGCTTGTTTTCTGTACTGGTTTTTGTTTTTTTGGGTTTTTTTGAGAAATAAAAAGATAGAAAAGGTTTAAGTATACATTTTGCATGTGAGGAAAAACTGTTATATTGAACAGCAGTATGATATCTCAGTTTCTTTTCTTATTCTTTTCTGATCAAAATCTAAATGAAACAATTTGAGTTGAATATTTCATATTTTACATCTTTAGAAGTGTACAAGTAATTTAAAAGAAGAAAAAAGAAAACAATGTATGTTCTGTGTATTTGTAGCATAATCGAATGATTTACATTGATTTGTATGCAAATATGGGCATTAAAAAAAAAATTAAAAAAAAAACAAGTATTAAAAAGTGGTCTGTTTGCAGAAAGTTCCAGAAAGTAGACAGTCTACTTGCCAATTGCCAATGTAGGAACAAAATTATTTGTTCATTTTAGACAAATTTTTTGATTGAACAGTGTCTGATTTAGAAAGAGTATAACAAAGATTAAATAAAACAATGAATCTCTGTCATTAGATATACAATAGGAATATGTGTTACAATTAATAAGAAAGATTTGAAGAAGGTGACATTTCATTATTGTCTTCTGGCACTTTTTTCTCACTTTTTTTTCAAATGTTTTTCCTACATAATTGCTTGAAAGCTTGCTCTTCCCCATCATTATGCAAGTTCTGAACAGGATAAATTGTATTAAATGCATCCTTTTCACAGGAATAATGCAAGGCAGATGTATATTATTATTGCATTATCCGTTTGTTGTATTTAAGCAATCCAATCAAGCCCATCTCATTTTCTCCATTTTAAGTACTCAAACTGATCAAAAAGACTGGCAAAAGGACTATTTAATTAAAACAACAGCATTCTCAAATTCAACCTTGATATATTTATTGATATATGTTGTCTCAGAAAAGTCACAGGATAAACTTGTTAAAATCCATTTGAGCTTGATAGGAGGTACATGCTGTGTTAAGTAAGAGCTTTTAATTGCACATGTAGCATGATCAAAATTTACAATAATGTCTTGACACAAATCTATAAATTATCCTGACCAGATAAAAAATAGAAAAGGCATAATATTCTTATGAATCTCATACAGTATTGATCATGGTTTTTTGTGTCTAAACCTGACCTGGCATGTTTGTGTTTCAGGAGCAGAAATCGATGTTTGTGATAAGATGGGTAACACACCTTTACATATTGCGGCACGCTATGGGCATGAACTTCACATTAACACCTTACTAGAGAATGGAGCTGATCCTCTCAGGTATTGTATGTCTGCATACAGGTATTTTATAACTACATACAGCTATTGTATATCTACATACAGCTATTGTATATCTACATACAGGTATTGTACATCTACATACAGCTATTGTATATCTACACACAGGTATTATATATCTACATACAGCTATTTTATATCTACATACAGCTATTGTACATCTACATACAGCTATTGTATATCTACACACAGATATTATATATCTACATACAGCTATTGTACATCTACATACAGCTATTGTACATCTACATACAGGTATTGTATATCTACATACAGCTATTGTATATCTACATACAGCTATTGTATATCTACACACAGGTATTATATCTACATACAGCTATTGTACATCTACATACAGCTATTGTACATCTACATACAGCTATTGTACATCTACATACAGCTATTGTACATCTACATACAGCTATTGTACATCTACATACAGCTATTGTACATCTACATACAGCTATTGTACATCTACATACAGCTATTGTACATCTACATACAGCTATTGTACATCTACATACAGCTATTGTACATCTACATACAGCTATTGTACATCTACATACAGCTATTGTACATCTACATACAGCTATTGTACATCTACATACAGCTATTGTACATCTACATACAGCTATTGTACATCTACATACAGCTATTGTACATCTACATACAGCTATTGTACATCTACATACAGCTATTGTACATCTACATACAGCTATTGTACATCTACATACAGCTATTGTACATCTACATACAGCTATTGTACATCTACCTACAGCTATTGTATATCTACCTACAGCTATTGTATATCTACATACAGCTATTGTACATCTACATACAGCTATTGTAAATATACATACAGTTATTTTATGTCTACATACAGCTATTGTATATCTACATACAGGTATTGTACATCTACATACAGCCATTTTTAGGTCACCTGAGCTTTGCTCAAGTGACCTTTTCCAATCACTTTCCGTCCGTCGTCGTGCGTAAACTTTTTACATTATCAACTTCTTCTCAAGAACCAGTGGATGGAATTTTTTTCAAACTTGGTCAGAATCATCCTTGGTAGATGAGGCTACCAAATTGTAAAATTGGGATTCCTAACCCAACCCTAGGGGCCAGGGCGGGGCCCAAAAGGGAAAATTAACCTATATTTCAAAAATCTTCTTCTCCAGACTCGGGGGTATTATAATCATTTTCTCTGCATGGATTGAGACATCATCAGGGGCTTCATTTAAATTGGGACGGGGGTAAAGTTTACTATAGTTTATATAGGGAAACAACACTTTTGGGTATATTTTGACAATTTTCTGTTGGAAATTATTCTTACTTGGTGAAAATTATCCTTGAAGGAAGATGGTTTTAAATTGTAAAATTGGGATTCCTCCCCCAACCCTAGGGGCCAGGGCGGGGCCCAAAAGGGAAAATTAACCTATATTTCAAAAATCTTCTTCTCCAGACTCGGGGGTATTATAATCATTTTCTCTGCATGGATTGATACATCATCAGTTGCTTCATTTAAATTGGGACGGGGGTAAAGTTTTCTATAGTTTATATAGGGAAACAACACTTTTGGGTATATTTTGACAATTTTCTGTTGGAAATTATTTTTATTTGGTCAGAATCCTCTTTGGTGGACGACGGTATTACATTGTAAACTTGGAATTCCTGCCCCATCCCCAGGGGTTAGAGCGGGGCCCCAAAGGGAACATTTACAAATATTTTCAAATTCTTATCCTTTGATGACATGACAAGTATTGTATTTCACTTAGTTTACATGCTGGTTTCCACAACACATCTAAACAATAAAATAAAGCTACCAGTACCTATGATATAACTCAGGTGATCGCTAAGGCCCTTGGGACTCTTGTATATCTACATACAGCCATTTCCATCTGCATACAGGTATTGTAATCCTGCATACAGGTATTGTAATTCTGCATACAGGTATTGTACATCTACATACAGGTATTGTTTACCTGCATACAAGTATTGTAATTCTGCATAAAGGTATTGTAATTCTGCATATAGGTATTGTACATATACATACAGGTATTGTAATTCTACATACAGCTATTGTACATATACATAAAGTTATTGTAATTCTGCATACAGGTATTGTACATCTACATACAGGTATTATTTACCTGCATACAAGTATTGTAATTCTGCATACATGTATTGTAATTCTGCATACATGTATTGTACATATACATACAGGTATTGTAATTCTACATACAGCTATTGTAAATCTACATACAGCTATTGTACATCTACATACAGGTATTGTACATATACATACAGGTATTGGATATCTACATACAGGTATTGGATATCTACATGCAATATTGTATTGAGTGAAGATGATCATGTTTAGATTCTTTAAATTATTGAAATGTTCATGCCAGCAATGCTGTTGATATGTGTTTCATATTTGTGAAGTGTGTTAGTTTGTTAGCTTGTGTATACTTTTGCACTCAGTCGGTAAATATTTTTTGAAAAATTTCCAAACCACTAACATTACTTGTACATATAGTGGAATGATGGCATAGTGGATACTGTACTCACCTTTCATTGAGACCATCAGGGTTCAAACCCCGATCAGGTGTGAAAAGATATGGGTCACCTGCCTGACCACATTGACATTTGATACCGTTTGTGCTAATTCATGTTAAAACTTTTCTTGGATCGCCATTACTATGAATTGTTTGACATCAGCAACCAAAGTTGCTCTGTGCACTGCTATTTCTGATCATGCAAGGATATCAATATTGTCTAGGATGCCTTGGTTTTCAATACTTTTTTCGTTAGATTTTCTTTTTCTTTGGAGGATTTTCTGACTGTAATACAATGAGGTATTCTGTTGAATATGCACGGAGTAATCACTAAAAGTAAGTCTACGAATAGGCAGTGATTGTTGGTGTTGTTTACAGACGAGGGACAAGTGGGATGCTGCCAGTTCACGTGGCTGCTGTCAATGGCTATGTTGACTGTCTCAAGAAGTTACTCTCGGCGATGGAGAACCTGGACATCGACGTGACTGATGACTATGGCCGGAGTTGTCTACATGGGGCAGCATGTAGTGGGTGAGTAGACCTCATAATTAATGTCGGGAGGACATTTGGATATAAAGCTAGTGTCTATGATATGTCTTATTTAATAGTAAAACTTCTTAAAGGGATCATGATTTAAGAACCAGAATGTGTTCCATCCCATAGGAAATGTTTTTCAGGCTTTATTAATCATGGATTTTAAACCTTTGGTGTGTGTGTGGGGGGGGGGGGGGGATATACAGCAATTACCCTGCCCGCGTAACTCCTCGTAAACCATGTGTTGCTTTTTTTTGCTAACTTAACACATTGAAGATACATCATATGTAGATGTTCGTTTGGTTATTTTATGGCCCTTTAAACTTTCTGCTCAAGAAACAAAGTAAACGCAATTCCTCCTTAACAGTTTGTTTGATTTATTTTTGACTTTGCACAGTTAAGTACATCATATGTACATGTGGGGGATGAAAGAAATACGTGATTCAACTATTTTTCCATGAGTTATGGCCCTTTGAATCTAATTTCTACTTCAGAACTGCGGGATGAAATTATATATCAATATGTGATTCAACCACTTTCCAACAGTTATGGCCCTTGAAACTAATTTCTACTCCAGAAACATTGTAAGCACAAGCAGGGAGTATATTTCGCTCACAGTTTCTCTAATGGAATAACTACCAAACAGCAAGAAATCCTTTATTCGATACATCTGATACACTCTCATAAAAGGATGTTGTTTCTCTTTTTCTCATCAGACGAGTTGAGTGTGTTGATCTCTTATTAAAGATGGGAGGTAAATTGGGAATGCTGGACTCGGAGGGCAGGTAAGTTGGTTACAGCAAAATATTGACCAACATCGTTTTAAAGAAACATTACGAAACTTCTAAAAACAAATCACTGAAGTGAACAGAATAGTGGTCATAAAGTTGAATTAAAAGCTTTAATCTGTTTATACTGAATAAACAATATACATATTGGTATTAGAGGATGCTTCTATTTAATGTAGCATATATATAAACAGAGACTTGGATGTTTATTTTGTTTGTAGGACAGCGCTGCACTATGCAGCGGCCCACTGCCACTACCACTGTGTCCATGCCCTACTGGACGCCCGCAGTAACGTCAACATCACTGACCGACAGGGCTGCACACCTCTGCACTACGCAGCAGCCTCAGACTCTGATGCAAAGTAGGTCACCTTCAATAAAGAGAAGATTGGTGGTATCGTTAGAATAGATCTATCCAAACTGGGTTTTAGGTTGGCAGTGCCCTGATTGCATAAACACTGCTTTTCAGGTTGATTAAAGAAAAGTCACTGAAAATTGAATATCATTTTTTGATGGAGAAACTTTTGAACACTTGTGAAATCGGTTATCACTAGATAACTAATAAAATGCTTCATTTAATACCCCAGATCACATGGTGTAGGAACTGACAAACCAACCACTCTTTATTATGCCCCTGCCATAAAATGGGGGGGCATATAGTGTTACCCATGTCCGTCCCGTCCCGTCCCGTCCCGTAATGTAATGTAAACACTTAGCAACTTCCTTCTTTGACAGATTTTGGTCAAACTTTATACAAAGGTCAAGTATGATTATACTTCAGACATCATTGTATTTCAGGGATCCAAGGTCAAAGCCATGGTCACACTTGCTATACATAGAAAATCATCAACTGATTCAATTTAAACACTTAGCAACTTCATTCTTTCATGGATTTTGGTCAAACTTTATGCAAAGGTCAAATATGAGTAAACTTCGGACATTGTTGTGTTCCAGGGTTCCAAGGTCAAGACCAAGGTCACTGTTGCTATATATAGAAAATCATCTACTGATTCAATTTAAACACTTAGCAACTTCATTCAATGTTATGGAGATATTAATAACATACAAAAAAATCATATGAATATTAAAATCAACTTTAAGTGTAGTACCTTGTGTGTGTGCATGTTTCAGGATATCAAGATCAAAGTGGTTGTAACTTTTTATAGAACACTGAAACTAATTTCACATGGCAGCGAGGGCATTTATGTCTTACAGACATTTTCTAGTTTAAAATTGTTTTGGTTTGATTGGGCAGCTCGACTGTCTCTTACAGAGTGGTGGAGCTGTTGTTGAAACATGACGCCCGCCCAGGTATCCGTGACAACAGTGGCTTCAATACTGTACACTACGCGGCTCTTAAGGGCCACAAGTTGGCGTTGGAAATGGTAAGATGTCAAAACTGGTAAGATTAAAACCTACCATAAGGTCTAAAACATTTACACCTCATTGTGCTAGAAGGCACAGAATCAACTCCAGGTGTTTTGAGTAAATTATATTGGACATCTAAATAATCTTAAATTATGTTTCTTTCGGAACAGACCTAAGTAAAACTATCATCTACAATGTATCTGAAACAACTTTTTGAAATAAAATAACAGTTAGAACAGTTGGAGAATACATTCAGAGGTTGCCACTGCTCTTTAGTATGTCAATTTAGAGTATTTTTAGCTACGTTTTGTATTTATATCATAAGCTGATGAAATTGGGTACACAGTCATGAAAAGTAAAACTGTTTGCATATATAATTAAGATTACACTAAAATTGAAGGCAGCATGAGCATTTGAAGTCAATGATGTATTTGATGGGTTGTAGTTATTGGATGCTGCAGCCACAGATTTACTCAGAAGTGGAGCAATGTACTCTCCCGCCCACTTAGCGGTAAGTGTACAGCAATGTACTCTCCCGCCCACTTAGCGGTAAGTGTACAGCAATGTACTCTTCTTCTTACTGTGTGGTAAGTTAGGGCATATTTCTATCCGCCGACTTAGTTTTAAGTGTACAGGAATTCTCCCTTTTACTTAATGGTAAGTGCACAGCAAAATACTGTACTACTCACCTAGGAGGTAAGTGTAGAACAGTTCTTTCCCGCCCTCTTACTGCGAAGTGTGCACAGTACTGGATAAGACAGTTAATAGTAATCTCCCTGTTGGCCCTGTACTTTGTATTACTGCACTGTCAGAATTTATTTGTTATAATATATGTCAATACATAATACCAAACAAAGCAGAATAAAATCTATCAAAAGCATTTGCATTATTTTCATAAGTTTCATTGTGCTATAGAAAAATGAACATTGCTTAGACATCACAATTCTGTATCCAATGACAAAATTCTTAAAGACTGAGCGCAATCCAACTACTGTAAAAAAATAAATTAAAAAAATTGAAATCATCATTTGTGGATTTTAATTGAAATATTTTTACAAGATTTTATTTATTTTGATCTTTTCCTTTTTGCAGGCTTATAATGGTCACAACGAAGCCCTCCATGTTTTACTTGGCTGTATCATGAACCTAGATATACGGGATCACAATGGTAAACTATCTTTTACTCTGGGTGAATAGATTGACACCCTTCTCAGATACATCATACTAATGTGTCATACCTTTCAGTTGAAATGGGTTTGGGAAAAAATACAACTTTTTTTTATAGCAGATAACAAGATGATAAAGAGGTGGTTTGAGTTTTCTGTAGTAAAGTCAATTATTTTAAAGGACACCCATAAATATCTTTATAAAAAAATACTATCCTTTTTAGCGAAGCCATGGACCTGTGTTTTGGAAAAGATTTATAGCTGTTGTTAATGTCAAGTTAGAGAAGGAAAATTTGAAGGAAAATATTCCAGGTATGTAGATATTGTGTGTTTGTGTACTCGTCAGGCCGTACAATGCTGGACCTGGCTTGTTACCAGGGTCACCATGAGTGTGTGGAAACACTGTTACTACAGGGAGCTACAATCCTGGTCCAGGACAACCTCAACCGTCGTACGCCACTCCACGCCGCAGGTAGGCATTACCTCTAGGTACTCTCCTCATGACCTGACCACAGTCTCATATCACTTCTTTATATCTTGTATGCGAGGAAATATTTATGGATATTCAATAAGTAATACCCAGTTAAAGTGTTTGTGGGTATTGGTATATGTCTCCTCTTCAAATTAAGACCAGCATACTAAGTGATTCTTCTGATGACATCAGCGCCAATACTTTAAATGTCAAAGATTGTAGAATCTTCCCCTACCTTAAGGGTACCAAGGAGAAATCACAACCCCAGAGATGATATTGTTGATTGTCTTACCTGAGGCTTGCTTCAAGCCTATTTGGTTGGTTTAAAGGAATTGATAAGGAAAAAAAGAACGGCACTCTTGAAATACATTGGCGGTTAAGGAGTTAATTAAGAATGTTCTGTATTAGATTGACAATAGGTTATGCATGTTATTATTATTATATGATATTCTCTATTCATCATGATCAAACGACTAATTAAAGGATAGTAAACATTTATTTTAATGTATAAAAGGTAGATGAATATATGATTTTCTTTTTTGTAGCATGTAATGGCCACACAGAATGTCTACGACTTCTCATGGAAACAGCAGAGGACAACAACATTGTAGATTGTATAGACTCTAATGAGAGGTATAGTGATGTATAGACTCTAATGAGGGGTATAGTGATGTATAGACTCTACTGAGAGGTATAGTGATGTATAGGCTCTAATGAGAGGTATAGTGATTTATAGCCTCTAATGAGAGGTATAGTGATTTATAGCCTCTAATGAGAGGTATAGTGAGCTATAGCCTCTAATGAGAGTTATAGTGATGTATAGACTCTAAAGAGAGGTATAGTGATGTATAGGCTCTAATGAGAGGTATAGTGATTTATAGACTCTAATGAGAGGTATAGACCCTAATGAGAGGTATAGTGATGAATAGACTCTAATGAGAGGTATAGGGATGTATAGACTCTAATGAGAGGTCTAGACTCTAATGAGAGGTATAATGATGTATAGACTCTAATGAGATGTATAGTGATGTATAGACTCTACTGAGAGGTATAGTGATGTATAGGCTCTAATGAGAGGTATAGTGACGGATAGACTCTAATGAGAGGTATAGTGATTTATAGACTCTAATGAGAGGTATAGAGATGTATAGACTCTAATGAGAGGAATAGTGATGTATAGACTCTAAAGAGAGGTATAGTGATGTATAGACTCCAATGAGAGGTATAGTGATGTATAGACGCTAATGAGAGGTATAGTGATGAATAGACTCTAATGAGAGGTATAGACCCTAATCCCAGGTATAGTGATGTATAGACTGTAATGAGAGCTATAGTGATGTATAGACTCTACTGAGAGGTATAGTGATGTATAGACTCTAATGAGAGGTATAGACTCTATGGAGCAACATTTCTTTTCTTATTGCAGTGGGGAAATAACAGTTCCTGAAATCACAGGATTGTGAATGTCACTATCTTAACTTATAAATTCACTAACTTTTGTAAATACCAGCATATATTACCACCATTAAGTAGATTCTTAGACTTTATTAAAAGATTTTATTCTGCTATGAAACTGCACTTAAATATTGCATCACTTGATGAATTTTTAAAGATTGAATTGCCACATTTAGGACATTTGAGTTTGCAAAAATTATTAATGATCATTATCAGAACTACATGTGTTATGTACTTCTGTTTTTGTTTCCAGAACACCACTGATGATGGCTGTAGCCAATGGCCATGTGGACACAGTATTATACCTCATAGCTAACGGTGCCTTCGTGAATAGTAAAGATAATCAGGGTCGAACAGCTCTACACAGAGGAGTAAGTGCATATCTACTGTATATACGGGAAACTTTCACAAAGTCATATTTTTTTCGCCATTTGCATTGAAATCCTTATTCACTCATGTAAATTTCGCCTTCATATTTGATTCCTGAAAACATAATATTGATTAATAATATTGGCTGTAATAAGTTATTCGCCCTCATTACAAAGGGAGTAAGTACAAACAGTGTATAACAAATATTTTTACATCAGTATAATGACTTTTCGTGTTGTTTTCCCTTTCACAACTGCCTTTCTGACCTAGGACCAGTAAGGTATTAACAGATTGACAGTGAGAGTTTGTATTACAGGCGGCCAATGGTCATGGGGAGTGTGTGGATGCTTTACTTCACAATGGGGCCGACATCTCCATACAGGACACATGTGGACGAACAGCTCTACACCTTGCCGCAGCGTGTGGTCAAGTTGGGCAGCTCGGCTCACTCATGCTGGTCAGTATACAAAAGTTATTGCCGGTAACTATTACAAATTATTCATAGCAAATTTTTCGAAACCAAATCAAAGAATAACATGTTATATACTTGGGTTGGAAAAACAGTAAAACTCTGCTAACCTAAACTTGTTGGGTCCAGATCAATAGGTAGAGGAATACAGGTAATCTGAAATTAAATTGTTCAGAATATGTTAGAACATGGTCAGGACCAAATAGTAAGTGGGGTTTCACTGTTTAGGAATTTGCATGTCAGTGTATGGTGATCAGACAAATGTTACTTAAGATAGCTTCAAAGCTATTATCAATAGCCAACCTTTGATATTTTCAGTTACTCATTTTAAATAAGGTTTTAGAATTTTTGTTATCATATTTAAAAAAAAAAATATATCAATACATAAAATCATGTTCTTAGACATTTGTGAAGATGTGTGTACTTTCATAGAAAGTTTACACTACTTGTTACTGTATAAAACTACCTGTTAATTGTTCAGAAATGATCATTTAAATGTAATAGATTGCAGACTATGATTTTTAGATGGAAATAAGTTTTAGATTTAGTAATGTAACTTACAACAATTATCACATGGATAAACAAATTTAGGTGTATCATGATAGGTTTCATGATCCTAGCCTACTTTTCAATCCAAACTATCAAACATCCTGAACATTATTAAAGTTCCACTTCATCCAAATGATACTACAATTATTTGTCAGACAGTACGGAGGGTTTAACTGGCAAAGGGAACAATAACTGCCATATGTGTCTTGTTTCACTTGTTTAAATAAATACAGTCTGTATTCTCCAATATTTACATAATATGTGGTAATATCTCTTTGCAATTTGTATGGAGATGAACATTTTGTGAAATGTAAGTGGTATAGAGAACCATGCTAATCTCGGCCTGAATTTGTTTCTTTACCTTTAGATGGGACCAGTAGATCAGTTAGAAGATGCCAAAGCGTTTACCCCACTCCATATGGCTTGTTATAATGGTAAGTTTGCCCTATTTACTGTGCAGTAAAACCTTGATATAGTGCCCCTCGTTTCATTTGCCACCTCACTTATTGCCAACATCATTCAAGGTCCCTTTTTCTCTTTTTCTGAAGAATTATTTGATGTTTCCTTCAATTTATTGCCACACCCCTTTATAACGCCAGAACTTCTCTGGCCAAATGGTGGCAAGATAGCGAGGTTTTACTGTACATCCAAATGTGTCAGCACACTAATAACCTCACTGAACTTATAGAATGTGTGAATTTGCTGGACATAATCTGAGATAATGTTACATTTCACAAATCCGTTACCTCACACAGATTGTTTGAATTCATTAAAAAAAAACAATTCGTAAAATAATTTTTGTCACTTTCCTTCTGTGATCTTAAAATTGACTTCTTTTAATATACATAGTATTTGAACTTAAGGCACAAATCAGCAGTAACACAAAGAAGTTTGTTTGAAATGATTTGGAGGGTTTGGTTGAAGGGTATAATTTTCAAAATTCTTCTCATTGGAATAATTGCATCCTGATTAGATTTTGTAAAGGTGGAAAATAGTGTCATAAAGTTTTAGAAATGAAAGATTTATGGGAGTTGTGCTGCCTTCCTTAAAAATCTCTACCACTACAAGTAACAGTATTTACGGTTATGGTTATGTTATTCATATTCAGTACTTCTATAAGATAGGCACCAGTAGCAATCAATGATAATTTGTACTCATCTTATTTCATGTTTTATTCCTATGTTTCAGGTCATGACAGCTGTGTGGAAGTTATGTTAGAAGATGAAACTCATAAAAAATTTACAGGGAACCCATTCTCCCCCTTACATTGTGCTGTGTAAGTCTATCTGGTGACTTCTATTCATACAGTTTGCTATTTAAAACATCTAAAAGTTAATCAAAATGTTTAAATATATAATGCTCATTAAAATGAAACAATGAGAAAACTTTATAAGGCTACTGTTTCTAGCTAATATATTTGTTCAACTCTGACAGATCATAGGTTTATTCAATATTTTTAATCGAGTGACAACAGTAAATTTCAGATATGAAAAGGAAAGAATTTTTCTTGTTTCATCATCAATATCAACTTTTTCTTCTTTCTTACAGGATAAATGGAAATGACACTTGTACTGAATTGTTAATAGATACATTAGGAAACAGTATAGTAAATTTAGAAGATTCGAAGGGCAGGTAAGTGTTCGTTTAACCGCAAAGCTTTTGTTGGAACATAATATTGTTCATTTTGGTTAATTTAACAACTGGTTTTAAAGTACTGTATCCTTGGTGGTTTGAAGCCATTTAGATCGTTTCGTGGTACAAACTTTCGTGGATATGCTGTATGAACACACAGTAGACACGTATATCATTCAAATGTTTATACACAACCAACATTTCATATTATACAGTATTGAAATTAAATAAATAGCAACATCATCATGTCATATAACCAATATTTATAGTGATTTCTTTTGTAACCAGTCGTCCTTCTCCCTATGTTCTCTATTAGCTTTAACCACAGCGCTTTTGTTGGAACATGAATATGGTTACATTTTAGTTCATTCAACAGCTGGTGTAAAGTACTTAAATGAAAAGTGCCAAATTAAATCTGAAAGCAATATTGTGGTTATTAACTACGTGTATAACAATTTATTTTATAACCAGTCGTCCATCTCCCTGTGTTCTGATGTTACCCTACATTCTACAACTGTCTCTCTGTTGGAAGTGATTACAATGAAATGTGTGGTACAAATGTTACAGGACCCCAAACCATGCAGCAGCATTCAGTGACCAGTGTGAGTCTATGCAACTCCTCCTCACCCATGGCGCCAAGGTTAACCACTGTGATAGTACGGGCAGGTGTCCAATAATGCTCGCCTCCTACAACGGTCATATAGGAGCCGTCGGTAAGTTTACTGACAGGTCCTACCTATAACTGTAAAAAAGGCCTAGGGCCCCATTGGCATACCCTGTTCAACCGTCTCAACCAGCTGAACCTGAAAAGAAAACGACAGGCTCAGATCTGAACCAAGACTGACCTCAGGAATATTCGGCACGTGCTTATCGAGGGGTCCAGACGTCGTGCCTGAGCGAAACTAAAATGCTGACTATTTGTAGTTTGCATTATTTAGTTATAAAACAAAGTCGATTCACATAGATGTTGTAGGAAATGTTATGTAATGCAGTGTATGCGTACAAGGAGGACATATCATTAGAAATAAGACAAGGAGGACATATCATTAGAAATAAGACCAGGAGGACATATCATTAGAAATAAGACAAGGAGGACATATCATTAGAAATAAGACCAGAAGGACATATCATTAGAAATAAGACCAGGAGGACATATCATTAGAAATAAGACAAGGAGGACATATCATTAGAAATAAGACCAGAAGGACATATCATTAAAAATAAGACAAGGAGGACATATCATTAGAAATAAGACCAGAAGGACATATCATTCATCGTGTAGTTCACTGGCAGGTGTCCATCCATGGCCACTGCCTACAACATTTCCTTAGCGTTTCAAAGTTAGGAAATTGTTCATTTTCATTTCCTCAGTGTTTCAAAGATAGGAAAATGTTCATTTTCTCAGTATCCCACTTCAAGATTGTATGAGGCAACTAACGTAGGGCCGAGTTATATGAGGCAACTAACATAGGTCCAAGATTATACTAGGTGTTATCAGGCTAGGCACCTCTGATGAGCCCATTGTCTCAATAACGTGATTGGATAGGATGTAATGCTACTTTGTCGAAGTTATGATATTTCAGAATGGTGGTAAACATCAGTGGACAGTTATAATATATTACATTAGCTGTTGGATGGCCCAAACATCTTTAGACACTTGTCAACTTGTCATATGAGCTTGGCTGTTGAGTGGCCCCAAGATCAGTGGACACCATTGTCATTCTAGTTTGGAGTTAGCTGTTGGGACGACAAAAAAAAAACCTATCACAAACGGACCTAATTTGTTACATTTAGGATAGTTTGTGATTTAGCACTTTATACATTAAGGTGCCTGCTTCAATGATCAACTCACTAAGTCAATGTTTTCTATTGATTTAATTTTTCAGATTTATTATTAGAAAATGGAGCAGATCTGAATTTTTGTGACAAAGATAAAAACACAGCTTTACACTATGCCTGTATGAGTGTAAGTATGTAGTTAGTGTGACATTGCTTTAACATTGACAGGTTTGTCCCAATTCTATTATTTTTACATCATCTCTCTTAGGAAAAAGGTAAACTTCAACAAAGGCTGGACATTTTGTTAGGTTTAGTTATGTATTTAGAAAAAAAAATCATGTTTCAAAAGAACATCTCTCATAAAAGTGTGTTTATATCATGATAGATGAAGCCACTAAGAACTCTCTCCCTCTTCCTTTGTGATGTACAAAATCATTAAGGTGGCCACCATCAATAAAAATCAACAGCACTTCAAATACAACAGACCGACTGTATGGTAATAAAAGTAATCATATTGGGGAAGTGTTGTTGATAACCAGAAGGAAACATCTTGTCAAGAACTTACAGATTTTTCATTCTTGCAAAATTTTAAAAGAAAAAAGCACTAATGGTTGTGAAATATTCCTATGATTTTTTTCAGGGTCATGAGAGTGTATCATTATTACTACTGGATAAGATTACAGAACATGCAACAATTAATATGGCCAATAATGAATTAAAAACGTAAGTATATTTGTTACATAGCTTTAGCTGAACCTTTGATATTGATTTATGTGTTATAGTCAGCATAATTAATCAAGGACTGTTCGTTATGGTAAAAAAGGAACAAAATGATTAAATGATAATTTATATGTACATCAATTCATAATGTTATTGCTTGAGTGACATATTGAATGAAAGCTGTCATTTTAGACATAGAATAAAATTTCAACAGTAGCATAGCAAATGATATAATTGGACTTTTATTCCAAAAAATCTTCACACTAAATCTCCTTTTGTAGAATTTTCATTAAAAGATATGCATGTTTTTTAAAGATCTCACTGGCCGACATTTTCAAAAAAGCTTGGTATTTTTAGATAATATTGATAATGAAATTATTGCTGCATACTAATTCTACACAGTTGGAGAATCATTGTGATGACAGCTATTCAGTTTATAAAAGTGATTGAATTAAAAGCAACCTATTTAATGACCATATGACCTTATGTTTCAGCCCTCTACACATAGCAGCCAAGTACGGCCTGGTCCCCGTCGTCCACAGTCTCATAGAGAAGGGGGCCAGTGTTTTCGCGCTGGACGAAAACGGTAAGTTGACAGGCTTCAGCTCATTTATCTGTGTCTTCGTCATCAGAAAAGTTCTTGGTCAATTTTTCTCTTTGAAATGCATGAATCGCATTGACATTACAGGACTTCTGTAATTAAACTCTTTCTTCGAGTCATTGTGATGTCAAATATTACATACATTATAGATTGGTATTGAAGCAGAATAGGAGTGTTTCTTTGTTCTTGGAATGTTGAATGCTGAAGATTATCTTTGATCTAATTATTTTTGAGTTATAATCATATCAGCATATGAATATCTAGTTTCTATATCTCTTAGTCTTGTACTTGGCAAAGTCATGTTTTCTGTTATGCTTATGTTGATATATTTAACCTGATTTATGATTTGATTTCTGCTATTTTTTGTCTCAAGTACAGCATGTCAGAGTAATTCTAATTATCTTCCTTTCATCTGATTTTTTTCAAATTCTTCTAATACTCGTCAAAATTATTTAACTGAAACTTCAAGACAATATCCCCCCTCCCCTAAAGTACATAAATTTTAGTGCAATTAGACAAGAGTTTTTGTTAAACTATAAACAGGAGATTCCTTAAGGCAGTTTAACTTTCACCTTATCCCCTCCACAATAAGGACGAATTCATCATGACAGTGAATGTATATTATATATAATTACAAGTTAATAGCAATATTACCACTTGGGAAATATGGATTTTACCTATAAAAGGCAGAAGTTTCCCGGTATACAGTATATTAATTGGTACTTTTATAAAGGTCATCATCACACATGTGATAACATTTAAATGATCCAGATCAGAAGTTGGCAGTGTAATAGGGTAACATTGTGTATTTACGTAAAGGATTTAGAATTTGTCTTCAATGGTGACAACTTTTTACCCCAGATACATATAAATATGTATGAACAACACATGCACCATTGCACAATTCATTTAAGCCTGCATGGATGTTCCAAATAGGTAACTTTTGTCTGTTGGGAGACAGTGTTGTTCGTGGTACACGTAACTGTAAAATCATATTTATCTACATTTTTCTTCACCTCCCACTCAATGTTTGTGAGAAGGTAGATAACTCTGACATGCTGTAAGTCGGTGACCTCCCACTCAATGTTTGTGAGAAGGTAGATAACTCTGACATGCTGTAAGTCGATGATGTCCCACTAAATATTTGTGAGAAGGTAGATAACTCTGACATGCTGCAAGTCTGTGACGTCCAACTCGATGTTTATGAGAAGGTAGATAACTCTGACATGCTGTAAGTCGGTGATGTCCCACTCAATGTTTGTGAGAAGGTAGATAACTCTGACATGCTGTAAGTCGGTGATGTGTGTATTGCTATGTCTTTCCTGCATCTGCATCGTCTTCCTTACAGGCCACTCCCCTGCCCTGGCATGTGCCCCTAACAACAGGGTGGCTGACTGTCTAACTATCATCCTAGCACACATGATTCCTCAAACCCCCAACAGTACAATACAGCGCTCCAAGCTGGACAACACACCCTCAGGATTTGGTGAGTGGGGTGATCATGAGATGTACCCGGTAGTGTAGATACACAACACACCGTATAAAGATAACAGTAAATTTTATTATCAAGGTTGCTTGTTGAAAACAGATAACAGTGATACACAAAGTACTATTAAAAGCAGCACTATGACTCGAGTTTAGACCTGCTTTACAGGTACTACGTTTGTTATTATTTTGACTGTACTTAAATGATTTAATGATTGTGTTCAATCAAAGTGTATGTAAATGAATTGCAAACAAAATGATTGAATGATGTTACATTTAGGTATAGCCAATCCATCAGATCAAACTTCCATTACATACTAGGCTTGTGCTGTATGAACTTTTTAAAAACCATGCTAATATGATAACAATTATTGCTATTTAGGAAAATATTGATAGAAGTAGTAGTAATGAACTTCACTTGAGTGAGGACAGTTTTCCAACGACCTATTTAGGAAAATCATTCGATATTATCATCAGTTTATTATGTAAATGGTTTTGGTTCCGACTGGTTTGGATTACTTATACCAGGTCACCTTGCTGTAGATGGACATAGTGACTGCTAATTGGAAGGGTCCTAGGTCGTGTCATCTTACGTTCTGTAGGGCTTGTACTTGATGGTTTCAATTACTTAAGGAAATATTCCTTATAATGGATAAAAAAATGTATAACACATCATTATACTACAGTACTTTACTATTGTATAAAATAGTTCCTTTTCTTGATATGTTCCCTACGGCTTTATATAAGATCAAAGATTTTTAAGATGTCACAAGAGACAAATGTTATTACATATTCAAATCAGTGTTAAATATATAACCATTGACTTGTGTTTCCAGGAGCCACCCGTACTTTGGAGACCCCTGACAACACAGGATCAGGAAGTCCAGGAGGCAGTGTTCAGGATGCCAAGGAACACTCGGGCTCCTATCAAAGTTCTGACTCAGAATTCTATTGATCAAAGTAACTTTCATCCTGCCAATAATAATGAATATATTGTGACTCTGCCAGTATTGTGAATAAATGGCACTGATCCAGTCAGGTTCACAACTGAAAACTGATGTGATCTAGCCAAGACCTTAATGTCAAAGTAAGATACCTACAGTTGGTAACATAATGCATTACCCAGTATTACTGGTAGACCTGTCAAATATGTTCCTACTGAACAAAGGTTGAGTCATAGTGTCATGTGATTAGTCAATGGTTTGTATTTCAGTCTGAAAAAGTGTGAGACAGAAATTTGTTGATTTTAGTAGATATTGAAAACACAGAATAGAGACGTGGTATGCAATTAGAAACCATGACAGCGACAGAGGTAGTATGTTTAGAGGTTGTCTGCAGTGTAGTATCGTGAGTTTATCCATCAACCCATTGAGGTAGGTCAGTATATATGCGGATTATTGAATTGAGTTCTTCCAAATTTGTCTGCAGGGAACAAATGTTTTATGTGGACCACCTGTCCTGGAATCCCGTGTGGGACAGACATTTCCGGATATCTCATCCCGTGTGGGACAGACATTTCCGGATATCTCATCCCGTGTGGGACAGACATTTCCGGATATCTCATCCCGTGTGGGACAGACATTTCCGGATATCTCATCCCGTGTGGGACAGACATTTCCGGATATCTCATCCTGATAGTTTGTAATGTGCGGATGGTCATTTTTTTACTAATCACTTTTTTTTATCATTGTTGAACTTATGGAATTTTTCTCTGTTGAATTAACTTTTGAGTGATTTTTTTCTGTTATGTCTTAGTTTTATGTCAGTTTGCAGACGATGGCCAAACGTCAAAATATCTTTGTGAGTATAGTGTCCAGCAGGTCACGTAGTAACGAGATAAAGTTTGATAAAATGGCTGCGCGGAAACCTGGTACATGTCACCATAACATGTCCACCCTTGGCAGATTGTTTTCCTCTGTTGTATAAGAATAAGGGAGGATTAAACTTATTTGTTAGTTAATTCATCTGTCACTCACTGCTTAAATTTCTAAATGAGAACACCCCTAAATATGATTAAGATTACCAAATGTATTTGATTTACTGTTGACATGGTAATGAATTAAAATTCTTGTAATGTGAAATTTTAAAAAGAGAGTGATTGATGTGTACATGAGTCATTTCTTCAGTTCTGATTGGATGGTGGTTTCTAGGCAACAGCTCTTAAATGATGATAAATTGTGACCAAATATTAGAATTAGCTATAAAATAGCATTACTCATGTCAGATTTAGTACAGAGAGTGAGGATTAAGATTATGTGCACTTTATCAGTAGTGAATGTCTGTCAAGGGATATAAATTCCATGAATTTGATATTTCTTTTCCAATTAATACATTGGTAGAAGTACTTTCAGGGATAACATAATAAAACTCAGTAGGAAACATAGAATACATTTGTATTTTTCTAACAGATGTACTGGTACTTTCCACAACTTTTTGGTAGAACAAACGATTTATAAAATGTATGTGCCATTTTGATCTAACAAACTCATTGAAGTTTATGAATGAATTTGTTCATAATGTTTAATGACTAGGATTTAGAAGTCTGATACAACATAAAACAGTTATAATGACCCGACACGTTAACCCTTTCACATCTGTAGACCATAATGGACTCATCCAGATCAATGTATGGTAGAGTCTACTAAAGTTACATAGGGGTGAAAGGGTTAAGTAAGCTGTGACTCAGCAATATTTTAGAGGCTTCACCTTCATTAACACTCTGATATACCCAAGTGCTAAATGTGACATTTGCATTGATGAAATCAAACAAGATATATCCAAGATATATACATATATGACAGACATGTGCTTGATATAAATATGCTAGTTGTTAGTTAAAACGTTTAGATGAATAAAAAAAACCTGACATTTGCTGAAGTAATTTATGATTTTTATAAAGATTTCTTTATCAGCACAGATAATTTATCAGTTTCAAACTCATTACGTATAAATATTTATAGTACATTAATCAAAAATGTTTGTAGATATAGCTGTAACGCAAGTAACTATAACTAGGTTACCAGGGCCACATTCATTTATCGCGATCAAAAAAGTTGAACAGGTTGGACCAGAGTTGTTTGTTTATAAAATAAGGTCGGGCCTAGTAATCTGATACTGCCTTCAGGCGAGCCTTGCAATGCCTGCATAAACATTTGCAGATCCGCAAGGAGTTGTACCCGAAAATGTTGCATTAAAGAACAGACAAACCGGTTAAACTGGATATGCGAAAGGGGCCCTGGTGTACCAGATACACTATATGTCATGGTGAGAAGCTGTGTGTTAGTGTTTTCAATCAAATATAATTTACCTTCAGCTGTGAAAACAAACTGTATGACTAAGAATCAACTACAGTACTGTGATCATCTCTCCACCAGAACAGATTCTGTTTAGACCAAGTAGACAGACTAACAATAGACAAACACAAACTTGTCATTTATATAACAATGGAAAAGGCCTAGACGTTTCCTACCTAATACTACAGCCGTAAGAAATTCAAAAGAAGATATACATAGAAAGGTTTGATAAGTTGACATTGACTAAGTAATTCCTGACTTCTGTAGAGTTCCCTAGACACTTGATATATGTTTTATTCTAGAGTGTTTGTTGTCCACCATTACCTCTGTTAGACACAGTAATAAATTTGAGCTTGATCAAAATATGATCAGGAATATGTAACTGTATTAAAGAAGAGTCGTTGTACAAATTCTCTATGTGTATCTATAGTTGTAACCAGGTTCATTAACCAATTAGGACATTTTTAATTAAATCATACTACCTATAGCATAATCTTGTATAGCCCCATTAGTATGGAATTGAATAACTAATATCACAAGAAACATTGGTAAAAGGTTTAACCTTTATAGAAATACTGTGATTTGTCTGTGTTTTAATTAACTTTCGTTTTTATCAGGTATTTAGTGTTAACATGCTAACATCCTAAAACAAAATATGTGCAAAAATGGAAGTGTGAACTACAAGAATTTAACCCCAACAAAGTGTTCACCTTCTGACCATTTAAAAACTTCTACCCAATATTGAATTTCTCCCAGTACTGCTAAGTATTGATATATTATTTTTTGTCCCATGCCTAAATTACTCTCTCGAACAAAGGCAGAAAGAGCAACAATGATAAAACGGGATAAAAACTCCATTTTATAGAGATTTCAGGTCACATGTGACCAGAAAAATTAGGAGTGTCTTTGTTATTTCAGTTATCATATAAATCTACCTGATACAAATATACTGGCATTATGAATTACATATTATGTGCATGTACTTAATTGTTCGGGGATCATTTATAGGTGTTTTTTCTTTAACATTTATGTGTATTATAGTGTTGGAACCAAGGGAACAATAGGCTGTTTTCTTCAAGTGTTTTGTATGAAATGGTTATGTGATTGATCCAGAGCAGTTGTTAACTATTGTCTACTTCGTCACCTAAGTGATATAAGCTGTTTTCGTGAGTGAATGTATTTCAATCGTTTTCAAAATGAAATTCTTTTATAACCAATCAAATTGAGTATTATTTCAGGTTTGACGGCTGGTGATCAGATAATTAGCTTGATATCCAGACAAAAGTACATGTAGTATTCCATTTGTGACAAGCGAATTGGTTTGCATACTATGTTAGTTTTTGTTCTTCATTGTTATTTTGATTTGATTATTTATTTCTAATTTTGTACATATAATGTTATATTATTGAAATGTTAGACTAACGGCTTCATGAGGTATACGTGTCCCGGTAAATGTTTCTGATGTTAAATGCCCGATACAGACTTGTTGGGAACTTGATTTTTGTTATTTCTATACTCAACATTAAAGTGTGTTGAGTAATAAGTTTATTATATGTTTGGTACAGTATTTGATGACACTCTGAAAACACCTTCAGTGTTGATAAGGTTAGGATTTTGAAAATTTTGAACTACCTCAAATTTTAGTTCGTGTTTATTAATTCAATATATTTTTCAACATTCGTCAAAGTAGGATACTTTTTATGAGTCTGAAGCTTGAAGTGCTAGTTATTTTAGTCAAGTTATGATAGAATTGAAGTTCTACATATTCCATTATATATTGCCAGAAGGGCATGTGAGCTTATACGCCATGTTGCACAGTCCATCAGTCTGTCACCTTAACATTTAACAAAAAGTACTGTTCCAGAATAGCTGATGAATCTTTACTTAAAGAACATCCTTTGGGCAACTCAACATTTTACGATTATAGGGATTAGTCTTAATGTAATATTAAAGGATTTTTCGATTGGGAAGACTCCAGTTGAGTAAAAATGTAGGGCGTGGTTCCCATGGGGCAGAGAAGTCCAACAGAAGTAAATATTTAAAACACCCCTTTTAAAATGAAAAGTTGATGGATATATTTAAACCTAATTTGATAGAGAGCTTCCTTGGGCTATGTTACTAGTTAGGCAGTGTAGGGAGTAGGGACCTTTTAGTAAAAAAGAAGGAAAAAATTAAAGTTAAATTTTTTTTTTGAATAATTCCCTAGACAGGATTTGAGGCTATATAAGAATAAGGGTAAATATTTCAAGACATACAATGCAGAGTCTCTGCTTCTTCTCAACTTTAACATATTGCTCTTTTGACATACATGTATAATATTCCACCCAATGTAGGTTAAGACCAGGTGAACTGTTTAGGCTGCTGGGTGTCTGGTTGCTTAAACAGATGTTATCGTATGTTTCTATTTGTGCTGGTACGTGTTGCTTAAACAGATGGTATCGTATGTTTCTATTTGTGCTGGTACGTGTCTACAGAAGATGTACTGATATTTCAGTGTTTATACTGAATGAAATGTCTGTTTCAATGAAATATCTGTCTGTATGAAAGTTTAGATTTAAGATCATACCAAAATTCAAATTTCAAGTGTCAGAAATGATCAGTCATTGAAAAAGATTCAAAAACATACATGTTCGTGTCCAAGAGAGGTTAATCTTAAACCAGATTTGTGTTTTGTTAATACCACCATTCACCATAACTTCACTATTTTTGCTTGATAGCAATATCAGAATGTTGAGGCTCACATCATCATTTCCAAATCCAATAGTTTTCAGAGATGTGACCTTATTGAGGGTAAAGGAATCTCAAACGTCATGTCTCTGGGTCAGAGTGTGTGATATAAGATCTCTCTCCACCACGATATTTCAGTATTATCCATAAAAAGGAGATCCTATTGGCAGAGACAGCCTGTACACATATTGGAATCTAGACCTGATTCAGGCAGCATTAATACTAGTAGGATAGGAGTAGGATTCTGTCACATCATCAGTAGGATATTATTCAATAGCAATGTATGGAACGAAGGACCAATATGGAGCTTTACCGTTGTCAGGACACAAGTATATATTTTTTTTATGACGTGTATAATCTGTATTCAGTTTCCTTAACCGAGGTTCATTGCCACCCATTGATTGTATCACCATCAAGGTAACTTTTCATTAAGCTTTCTGTGAGGAAAGTTACAATAGTATTTTATACATTTTTCAGTGTGTACTTATTTTCATAAGCTTCAATCTCTTTTTGAACTCTTTGCTAACATCAGGAACTAAACAGAAGTAATTCATGATATTTAGATTTTCTGTAATACAAGGGAGACATTTGTTTCCATATTACGAAACCTTTTGGTTGGCAGAGTATATTTGAATAATGAATGCCCCCATTTTCCATTTAAGTCCCTCTTAATGCTCAAATTGATGGATAAATGGAGTTCTTTTTAAATATTTATGTAAAGAAAGCTGTAAAAGTATTCTAAAGAAAATTGTATTCAGACGTGATTTATTATTAACAAAAAATGGTTGATACATGTTAAACGTATTTATAAATATACAGGATTTTGTTTTCATGTGAAACAAAACGTACACAAATCGGTTTTAGAATGCTACTTAATGGTATGTCATAAATCACTATGTATTACCTATGTTACTGTGTAATCAGACATGCTTATATCCCATTTCAACTAATAACCAAAAAGTTCTATTCTTTTCTGTCTCATTATTTAAACTTATCTATTGTTGTCGACTTGCCCTTATGTGACTGATATTAAAGAAAACTTGTCAATAGTGCACTTCTATAAATGCTAGACACACCTTTGTACATGCATATATCTATCTATATAGCTTCAATCTTATGAAGAATCTGTGTATCGTTTAGACATGCACGCTAAAAACATCAACAACAGTGTATATACATATACAACAATGGATATATATCTTCTTGACTCCCCTTCGTGAACACTAGAGAAGAGGAAAAAAAGAAAGAAGGCTATATTTGTATAGTAAGGACAAGGTGACCAGCTAACAAGTTACCCAGGGTATAAGGTTCCTCATTTTGTTTTGGCATATATGTAGAAACTGGGTCACACTGATGTCACATTTACGACAGTTGTCACTATGTTTGAGTCCTACTATTATCAAGAAGGTATTTGAATGAGCACATTATAGTTATAAATGTATTAATTGTTAGATAAAGTTATTTCAAGTCACAAATCATTACAAAAATGAAACCGTCTGAGCGTTTTACATAGTCATCATAAAAACATGCTCAAAGAGCCTCTCATATAACTTCAGAAATATGAAAACTCATGAAATATGGTTACCTGTTTTCTTCCCTTCCCTAATCTGATCTTTGTTTAACCACATTTTATTGTAATGCTTGTTTTTAAGTGTCAAGGTAAGCACTAGGAGTAAGATATTTTTAAAGAAAACAAATTCTGTATTTCTGTAAATTTGTTTGCTATAATTATTTATAACAGATTTTGGTAGAGTTTTGGTTTCGGTCACATGGTCTCAAAGCCAGAGTGAGTCTGTGTCTTGGTACAGCAGCCGTCCTCTATATACAAAAGTTCAGTAAACTTCATCATCTGGTATCACTCGTTATAGATAGGAGAAAGGTAACTAAAATTTAAACAAGTTGCATGGCCTATTTGATTGTACCAACAGCAAATTTACATTAAGTATTAGCGTAGTTCTTTGAAAGGAAAACATGTCCTAACTTCATATTCCAAGGGTTTAGATTGAACTTCATCAAAGGAGATAATCCAGCGTTTAATCGTAGTAAAAACTATTGTGTATTGAAATATTTTATTTTTTCTGGTCATATATACTTATATCGATGAGCGAACTGGCCCTACCGGTATTTTGTTTTCATGAAGGAATATATTGATCAAGATATAATATATATTATATATACCGGTATCATTAATTGTTTAGTTTGTTTTGGCCATAATTAGACATCAAAGAGTTTGGTATGCAAGTTAGATAAACAATGGACCCTGGACTGTAAACACGAGGACTAACACTCTGCTGTGGATCAAAAGAGTCGTTCACAAAGTTATTTTTCAATGGCAATTTAAAGTTGTTCAAGCTCCCGATTCAGTTTGTCTGAAGATTTCTCGCGGGAAGTTGAAATTGAAACAGTAAACAACTTCTGCTTGACCTTTTAATTTGTATTTCTGTTTAATTCAGCATGTTGTAAGTTTTTAGATGTAAGAATTCTGGAAGCCACATCATTTTAATCATCTATTAGAACTGCATAGTGCATGACAATAATGTGGACAAGCTATGGGTGACATTATTGAGCGCCACGGCCGAGTGTTAGAGTCTCTGACGGTAATATTGTTATGTATAGTGTAATACAGTCTAATATCGTTACAGAGCGAGTGGGAAGTAGTGAGTATCCAGAGAAAATGGTTTTTCATAAATAATTCTAGAAATTGTATATTTCTATATCATGTGTTTAAGACCAGTAAAATGGTTGAAATGTAAACTATTTTGTTGTCTTGTTTCTTGTTTTATTTACTTCTATTTAAAAAAGTATAGTCGTGACCAGATTTTTACGGTGTAACATACATTGTATAAAGTAGTGACTGCTACGTGTTTTACCTAACTTGGCGACAAACGAATGTAATTCAGATGCGTGACCTATTACGTCAAGATAACAAATTCAAACTTCCTAATGAAGATCCTATAAAAGGCTTTTAAAGCTTTTTTGATGCGATTACATATCTCATTCCTTTGTGTTATTCTAATGTTATCCAGGTGAGATGTACGAAAGTTTTGTTTTTGATTTGGTGTACAAGTAAATTATATACTTGCATATTGTTAAATTCAATTTCCGTCGGAAAAAGGTTTAGTACGGAATATATTAATTCATCTTTTTGTTATTACATTTGTGCTGTAACATAACTAGATAAATATGATCAGGTTAAGTTTACTTCTCTATATATTAACTATAGTTTAACCAGATGAATTCAGTTCCATTATAACTTAATCAGATTAGCGTAACCTGTTTAATTCTGCTCTGCTAAATACTTAATACAGCTTAACCAGAGCAGTGTTACCATGCATCTCTGTGCTCAAACCAACTAACTTGTGACTCGCTTAAATCACGTGACGGATCTAACATTAAGTGAGGTATTGAACACTGAAATTGGCTGTAAGGCTTTCAAATAATGACAATGTGAATTTTTATCGTTTTCACCGGAACAAGAAATTGGTCTTGGCCAAAAAACCTGAGTTTGGGCATGAGGAAGGTTTCATGAATACGGCCATAGGTTAATTTTACTCTTCAATATATTTACTACCGATTAACTAGGTTAAATAAATTCCTTTATATACTTACTGTAACTTAAAAATAGCTCAACCAAGCCAATTATAACTTAATCGGATCGACATTACCGGGTTAATTTCTACTCCGCTTTATATTTACTAATTACTCACTACATTTGTACCAGGTAATTCCATTCCTATAGATAGTTATTTAAACTTATCCAGATTAATTGAATTCCTCCATTTACTTACTAGAACTTCCCGATAATGTGCATTGCTCTATTTACCATATGTTTAGCCAGATTACTATTTACTATATGTTTAGCCAAAAGACTCTATTTACCATATGTTTAGCCAGATTACTCTATTTACCATATGTTTAGCCAGATTACTCTATTTACTATATGTTTAGCCAGATTACTCTTATTTACCATATGTTTAGCCAGATTACTCTTATTTACCATATGTTTAGCCAGATTACTCT